GTAAGAATCATACTTCACATCAGAAACCAAGTACAAGAATGTATGTTTAATAGGGTAAAGAATCATACTTCACATCAGAAACCAAATACATGAATGTATGTTTAAGAGGGTAAAGAATCATACTTCACATCAGAAACCAAGTACAAGAATGTATGTTTAAGAGGATAAAGAATCATACTTCCCATCAGAAACCAAGTACAAGAATGTATGTTTAAGAGGATAAAGAATCATACTTCACATCAGAAACCAAGTACAAGAATGTATGTTTAATAGGGTAAAGAATCATACTTTACATCAGAAACCAAATACAAGAATGTATGTTTAAGAGGATAAAGAAGCATACTTCACATCAGAAACCAAGTACAAGAATGTATGTTTAATAGGGTAAAGAATCATACTTCACATCAGAAACCAAATACAAGAATGAAGAAAACTTGTATGTAAAAAAGTAAAGAAATTTAGTTTCTTATATTTACAGGAGACAGCTTGGACTTGCACACTGCAGTATTTGATGTACAGTACTTCTGTTACTAACAGAAATGGGAATGGGGTGTTTGGAAGGTGCAGTTACACCCCCAAAAAAGTTGCTGAAAGAAGACCCACACCCTCGATATTTCCAAATGACTTAGCAGTGAATACCAATATGTAGGACCAGTGATTTCATTTGTTGAACTACTCACCAATCCCTGTTTTTATCAGACCAAAGATGCAGGAAGTAGGGTGTGCAAGCTTCTGCCTCTCTTCAATAGCTTAGGATATATTATGTATATTATTATAAGAAATATCTGGGTTTTATGATGTTCAACAACCCCAACTTTAAAATTGTTCCTGTTTTTAAGTGTATACTATCCAGGAAGTTTTAAAATAAAAGTACTGAATTTGAGCAACAGTTTCATTATTTTGTTCAGTCCCAATAAAACATAATGTCGGTAGGTATCATAATAATTTAATATGTTGATATTATCTAAATCAACTACACTTTTGATTAAAATTACTTATGAAAATTTAACTAAACAACAACTGTGTTAAAACTGACATTTTGCTATCTGCCCTTAAAATAGTACCATAATCTTAATGTTTTAAATAATGTACTTACTGTCTGGTACAGCTGGCCAGTTAGTGGTATTTACTAATTGATTAACTAACACCTTCATTAATCAATTAGTACAGTGTTCTTCAAATTATGGTACATACAAACAATAAAAAAAATTTACAGCAATTGTCTTTCTCCCAGTCAGCAGCTCAAAATTAGTGACAGATAGTCTTAGTAGCTTTGCCATGACAAAGACAGTACAAGCAACTTTGATGGCAATAGGAATCAAACCTCAGACCCTCAAATCATCAAACCTCTCCAATCACCAGAACTGAACTAACTTGAAGCAAAGAAATAACAACAAAACTTAAGGCTAAAATTGAGCAGAGCACAGACAGCCCATTATGTAACTTTGCACCTAATAACAAACAGATATAATAGCAATATTTTGATTACTTGGATAGTTGGAATAATTGAAAGTCGTAACAATTAGAAACTAATTTCGATTAGTTGATTATTTTTGTGACAACCAATTTAAACATAATTTCAATTAATCAGCTGTGGAAGTAATCAAAAATAGAAATAATGAGAAACCTTCATTTCAATTAATTGATTGTTCAAATGTTTGAAAACAGTAATAATTGGAAACAATAATTTCGATTAGTTGATTATTTTCATGGCAAGTGATATAATTGTAATTTTGATTAACTGAAAGTTGAAATAATCAAAACCTTTATTTCAATTAATATATTTAATCATTACCTTCATAAATTAGTTAGTTCCAATGACATTAATCAATATAATGGATTAAATTACCAGGCTCTACAAATTGGCAAAAAAAAAAGAAACAAAAAAATAGCAAAGTTTGTAGAAAATGGTACTGTACATAAAGCATAATCTTATACCTTCCACCACAAAAAAAGAAAGAGAACATTTGGTATAAAGCTTTACTTAAAATATTTTGAAATATTTGAAAACATTTTAACTGCTTCAATTAAACTATGTGAAAAATTATATGAAAGTAAGAAAAAAAAACGGTGGTAGGGGGGGAAGGGAAGATTCTTTGACCATCGATTACTGAAGCCTTTTGAGTTAGGTGATACTGTGAGCTAATTATCTACTGAGAACTTTTAATAGCAAGTTTATCATTTGTTATCAAAGTGTCATTTTCTTTCAAAATGTGACTTCCTATGAAGTCAGTGCTATCAACATAATAAAGTAAAGTTCTAATTTATTTTTTGAAAACCATTATAATTCTGATTAAAACATTCTTAACAACAAATGAAACATATCAAATCACAGAATTACTAATCAAGGCTTGAAAAACTCTGCTAAGCTTTAAAAGAAAAAAAAAGTGAAATGACTTATGAAAAAATCATATATTTTAAATATCAATTCCTACCAAAATATTTTACACCATCAAAATGGCATTTTTTAAACAATATATATATATTACTTAAATAAAAAATAATGTATGTATGTAGTCTTTGGATTTTGTTCAATTCATTTTTAACAATGAAATCTGTAGAAGTCACGGAATTTTATGTTTTTGAAAGAAAAAAAACAAAATACTTACATTGTCCCTTATTTCCGTTCCTGCTCCGGCATCAGTTAGCATGAATACTATTTCTTGTCTACATTTGTCAAATTCTTTATTTGGTTTTTCATCGACAAGAGGCCTGTGGCAAGCTAACACATGAAGCAGGCTTTCACGATCCTAAATAATCAGTTAAGTTTCTTCTAATTAGTTTATAAACTATAAAACATTCCTAAAAATTTGTTCATTAATAAAAACGTACCTATTAATAAAAATTCAATTATGCATTATCATATATTCTCTCTCCTTTTGTACAAAAAATAAAACAAGAAGGTTAAAAACTTCAATTATTAAATGTAAGGTTCTTGTTGCAAAAGTTTTAAACCATTGGATTATTGATTAGATGTTTTATGAAGTTTATATATATAATGATCTAAAAAATGAAGCTAATAAATAGGGAAAAGTAGGGATACGGACCTCTTTCACAAAATGTGGAGATACACCTTCGTCTAGTAGTTTTCTTACATTGGCAGCATTACATTCCAAAACTGCATGATACAGCTCTCTCTGTAGTTGTAAAACATATTTACACATTTATGTCATCTGATAACCATGCCCACTACATAAAAGATCTAGATATACAATGTCTGTAAACATTTGTCGTTTTTTTAAATACAAGGAAATATTTAACACCTAATTATTATGGTTAGTTTGTACCTGTTGTTATACATATCATTGGTTTTCTAACTTCTGTAGTTATACAGAAATCTTCAAAATTATTTCTTATTACTGTCATGATAGCAACAGATGGTCCACAGAGTTGCTAGCACTGTTTTGTTTTAATTGCTTTGCCTATTGTTCTCTAATAAGTAACATTACCTCTGCCCACAGAGAAGTTTCAGTATTGTAATTAGAATCCAAGTTGAACAGGTTATCACTAAAATATCCTTGGCTTGCTGACTATGATGCTGATTAAAGTTGTGAAAGGACATAAGTCACGAGATGGCACTGTCCACTGGACAAAGAAAGCAAGTTAACATTTTGGATCTAGGCACACCTTCTCAGTTCAATTCTCCATTAGTTGACCAACAAGAAGGACATGCTCTTTTCTGGAAGATCAGTGTGTTCAGTATTGGAGTGTTCAATCTTGAGAGAAAGAAATCAACAAGACTGAACACCAACTGTGGGTATGTGTACTAGTCTTATTTTTATTGTTTAAATAAAGATTTTATTTGTTTGTTCAAAATGTGCCCAGCTTAGTTGTACACTAAAAAGAAGACACAGCTCGATTATCTCTGTCACACAATCCTGATAAATTTCCCAGGCAAACTCTGCCATTATTGAGAAACACTTTATCTGATATCTGTCAGAGAGTCAGTGCCATTCATGAATACCACATTGCTATACAGTGGTTTCAGCTGTCAGTTTGAAGATCTGTAAAAATGAGCAATAATTTATTTTATAGTTGTAAAATTGGTAAATTTAATTAAAATGAGCCTCTTATTCTATGATGTGTTATGTGCAATTAATGCTAAGAAAATTGTATTTGTGACTGCTCTGTTATCTAATGCTTATAAGGTTGAGAAACTGTGTTACAACAAATGTAAACCAGATTTATTTTGAATAGTAAGATATATAATATTTGAAAACATATACATATATCTGTGGCTTTCAACCTGTGGTCTGCAGACCCATTAGAAGTGTGTGATGCTAAAGATTGAGTTTCCATATTAAAGGTAAAAAATACAATAAAAATACTATGTTTGATTAAATGAAAAGAATTTAAAATTTTCAATCAATTACATGTTTAGTTAGGCCAGTGTCATATCTACACTGTAGGGTTAGCTTCTGCACAGACTTGTCTAAGTATGAGAGACTGTGAGACAGTCTTCTGTTACTGAAGATGTACATGTTGAAAAAAAAAAGTTGAGAACCACTGATGTAGATAATTGCAAATGTTTGTGATGAATAAATTTAAATTAAAAAACAGTTTTTGAAAGAATGAATGTTGCAATCATGCAAGTAAAAAGGCACCATTATAAATCAATGAAAGATTAAAAACGTGTATAATTAGTTTGAAATGAACATGCTTTTTTTAGAGTCTGGCAAAAATAATAACTTTAAACCAATGTGGTTACTTGTATAAACCTACAAGAGACATTTAGAAAAAACAGAGAGAAAATTTTTGTCATACCTATACTTATATAAGTGTAATAAGTGCAGTCATAATATAAATGTATAAGCTTATTTGAGTGCACTACATACTGAGAGGCATCTATTTATTATCTACACAAAAAAGTTAACAGTGACTTTTGTAAAAATTTTATCTCTTAGGTAGACAGTGAGAAACAATTTAGCAAAAACATTTTAAAGAAACTTTTCAATATTATTTAGTAGATCTAGTCTTAATGTTTTCCTGTGAGGAGAAACATTCACAGTATGTATACAATTATATGAATCATCAACGGAATATTTTGGTGTGTTCAAAGTCAAAAAACATTGAACAGAATTTAATCACAAGAGAAAAACTTGTATCCTTAATAGTTGGTTTAACATTGAAATCTTCTGAAATAAATGATGTTATTTATCAGAACTTCAAAACATTTTTTTCCCTTTTAACAACCTGTTTCTTTAAGCATTTAATCATAACTACAGGTACTATGTGTGTTATGCTATTTATAATGTCCTTAATACATCCATATAGGAGTAAAATTAAGAAAGCCAAATTACAGAAAATTAATATGACAGCTGGCTTTTCCACTGCGTTTATTTAAAGAATTGATATAGAGTGGAGAGATCTGACTTACAGATACTATTAAAAAAGACTAATCTACATAATTTGTATTTTCAGGTTTCAAGTAACTTTCTAGGATAACAAGAAAGAGACTATTTAATATTTCACTACAATACACTTAAATAAGAAGTTTATCACAGTTTTTATTATTGTCAGAGGAAAAATAAACAGACAATTTGAAATGCACAAAAAAATTAACCGACACATAATAACATATCTGTAAAATGATTAAGAAAATAAACGTATTTTATACCCTGAACAACATTACAAAACATTCTTATACAGTTCATATTATAATAGGTGAATTTAACATCTAAATATGGTACTTTATATGCTACTAGTGAGCATGGCTGATCAAATAAGATTACTAAGTAATTAACTTACCTTTCCATGAATATCTGCTTCAACACTATCCATAACTTAGGTATACCTATTACAGATATTCTCATTACATTAACTGTCCACGTTTTGATGCTCAATCACTCTAAATATGTATTCTGTTAAGCAAAATAAAACAGAATCAGATAAAAGTTGTAAGGTGACTAATGATTACACAACAATGAACTGATACATTCTCAATATTTGTTCCACAAGGTTAGCTAGAAATAATTTTCCATGAAAAGACAGCAAAACATATTATTCAAATACAGACTTAAAAGTTGATGAATTATATAAAAATAAATTATTGTGAAAGCAGTGTTTACCATGACTGGATTTTTAGGTAATAAGCAGTGAATTGTTTATTTCACGTATTCATAGTTTATGACAATCTATTATTAAATCTAACTACATGGAATAGTTTCTTCTTTAACAAGCCTTTCCTTCCTTTGACAATTATGATATATGTAACTCATTTGTTTTGCCATCTGGAAGGCAATTATCTGTCATTAAACTGTACATTATTTACTGGTTTCAAACCAAATTAAAAAATTAAAATATAAAAAACTGTAAGTTTATAATCACTGAAAAATCACTATAAAATATTGTTAGGATTATAGTAGAAAATAGTACTAATGATTAGAGTATCCAACTAATGAAACAATACATTCTAATCATTTGAAGTAAGAATGTATGAGAATTATATCAAATTAGCTATTTTCTATTACTGAATGAACTTTCAGTTCAGATCTTTGTAGGTAGCTTACTTTAATCAGAAGTTAATTAAATATGAGGACACAAGTTTTCATCCTGTACAATTGTCTTCTTTACAGTACGCTCTCAGTTTGCTGAGGAGTCCACTCTTTGATATATATTACACAGTATTTGTTTTCAAATGTTAGCAAGGCACTTTCAATTACTGTCAGCCACACTGGTCTTTAAGAAGAGATACATAAAAGGACAGGAAATCAGCAAATGTGCAACCATGGAAAAACAAGGTTAGTGAAAGAAACTGTTGACAAGTAAATAGAAATAGTTACATTTCTTGTAATTCTCTCTTTTTTTTCTGTATCTATCTATGAAAGTTCATACAAGTAATACATACTCAAAAAAATATACCAGTAGTATAATTTTGTGCAATATTTTTAATGTTAGTTTACTATAACTACAAATTATAGACAAACAAAATGGCATGCAACAGAATAGCATAACTTTCTTTTCTCAAGTTAAAAACACATAAAATTATAATTATGCATCACTTTTGATGGTTGTTGTGTATCTCAGAAAAAAATACTCAGTGTGATGTCCTAACTCTGTTATTTTTTTGTAAGTTTAATAACAAGCAAGAAGGAACCATTATCAATGAAATAAAAAAAAACATGTTTCAAAAATATTTTTTTCAGTTCACTCTTCATGATTTGACCAAGCAATTATCCAAATGTTATTATTTGTGCCAGAGGCAGCCATACTTAGTTGTTGGCCCTTGTGCAGGATAAATTTTGGGCCTCCTTCGAACCCCTTCCCAACACAAATGTTGCAGTATGACTATATATTGTACAATACTATGCTTGTTTGGATTAGGGGTTGGTGGGCCCCTGTGTACTGCACAGCCTGCATACACTATATGGTCACCACTGATATGTACTCAAATTAATCTAGAGCACATATTTTATTTGGTGTATTCATTGGAAATATTTTTGTATGAGCTCATCATTACAAAACGAATACACAGTATTAACTACTACAAAGTATTCTTATCTCAAGTTAGTGCCAAATTAGGGCTACATTGCATTAACTTTTATATCCAATTTCTTTGATTCTCAAACTCATCCATTCCTTTGTTTTATTGTACTATAAAACAAAAATAATGTACTGGTTTAATTTAATACTACTCTGTACTGTAATTATACAATGTAGCTTTTTCTTTGCACTGATTTTCTCTTTTAAACCTACAACAATAAAGTTTTAATGCTTTCTTAGCAGTCCTAAAGTGAAGATCATGATAATGAAGTTGTCTTAAAAACTTTACTCTTCAAGTACTTTTTTAAATTGGCTTAGTTTTGGCACCCACAAAACAGCAGATATTCTGATAAACCCCATGTTAATGAATCTACTTAGCTCTTTTAAATGTTTCATGGTGAACTTTATCTCTTTCATGTGTTTATAAACTACAGTCTTTATATTAAACCTTGTATAACTTTATTCAAAGAATCTCACATATCTGGCTTAACTAGCTAAAAAACTTTTTATTTAAAGTTAAGTAGGTTCTTAATTTTAAGTCACACAACAAATTTTAGTAGGATTTATTGGTGCTTTTCTAAGAAAATATTCTATTTAAATCTTAAAAAAGTGAGTTGCACAAAGTAAAATGTGATTTTTAAGGAAAAATATTTTAAAATATAGAACCTTTCCAGTTAAAATGCTTCTTTGTGGTTCCTGACCAATAAATATGAATATCAAAGTTATATTAATATAATTAAAAAATTAAAACAAAAGTAGATAAAAATGATTTCTACACTCTTAATAAATGGATTTATTTTGCAATCATCCAGCCTTAGGCCCACTTCAGGAAAAGAACAAAATACAACTGACTATATCATCAGTATATGGTGAAGAGTCAGTTGGAATTTATATGTTAAGTTTGATTGAGTAGGATATTACTCACAACTATTACTTAATTAATTAACCAACTGTACAATTTTATCTACCTTCCCAGTTGTTTATTAATTTGCAGTAAAAACTACTTAGCTGTAAGATTAGATGGCTAATATCCTTCAAAACTCTTTATCAGCAGAAACCAAAATGTATTCTTAATCTTACTCTGTAATTTCCAGTTCAGTGGCTTTTCTTTCTTAATGTATTAAGTGCCTTCAAATCAACACATACTCTGATACAGGAATGCCTTTAATAAAACACTAGCTACTTTAATTAAAAAACAAACAAACTTGCATCAAACAACTTAAGTTTCAAATTTCTAGCTTAAAGGCTATGAGCCATATTATTACTGTTTACACCCATCGCACACAGGTAATTTATCTAAAGTATTTACAAATTACATTAAAGTTAACTGTTTGTTCTAGACTTTTTAAAAAATTTTAGTATTGTGAAAATAATAAAAAAGTATACTGAATTGTATTAATAACTTAAACAAGTGCAAACACTTTACGTTTTTTTCATGCTTAGATGGGATATTTCTTAGATTTATTATTTTTTATGAATAAATTAAGGATTTTATGTTTTTGCACTTTTTAATCTTACTTTAATTAATTAAGAGGACAAACGCATAACTGTGTTATTAAAAAATTATTCTTTGTTAGCAGATTTCTGTGGCACTATGATAGCACACTCTAGTAGTGTTGACTTAGTACTAACGAGCAAGGAGAAATAACATTTAAATTGTATTAATCGAATGTTACTACTTTTATAGAGTTTAATATATAAAAATCGCATTCGCAGCCAATGTAGGCTTAACCTTAGGATTTAACTTTACTTTAGCGTTATCCTTTATGTAACTTTATTTATATATCAAAAATGCTTAAACTACTACTACGTTTTCTCTTTAGGGCTTTAATTAAAAACAAATACTTACATATCAAGTGATTTAATAATAATAATAATGGACGTAAAATACAACATATTATCATACCTTCGAAACTTGATATAAAAAAGTAGTGAAACTTTATTCCGCCATCTATTGGTTCAACTATGCAGCTTTACAAGTTTGTAAGTTGTTCTTTTGTTACTATGATATTGATAGGATAAAACAAATGAAATAAAATTTAAATTTGTAGCTACTTGATTAACAAAGTTAGCTCACGTCAAGTTTGAACTTTAGATTTTTTGTTTATCACTTATTTCAACTTTCGACTAGCATCTCCATATTTGTTTATGTTGTATGTAAGAAAAGGTATCAATGAACCATAAATTAAGAAAAATATAATTTTGTATAGAATAAATTGTAATACTTATGCAGGTTCCTGTGTTATCGTACATAGAAATAAACAAGTTTATTTGATTACAGATGTATCAAATCTGGTTTTTGATGGAAACATTGTAAATAGTACAAAAATTGATTTTGAATTATTTTGCATGGCATATTAAAATATAGAAAAATTAAATATAAAAAAAATACATTTTTTATTATGTTGTTAGAACTTTAAATTTTACAAAATAGTTTTGTATTATTTAGTAGAAATATATTAAATTCCACCAGCTAAGGTTTTCTACATTTTAAGTTTTTATGAAGATGTATTATACAAAAAAAAGGGTGAAAGTATAAATAATATAGATGGCGCTAGTTTGTTGTTATGAGAAAATTTGGGTGATAAAACTTAAAAGAAAGTTTTTATTAAGTTTAAAACTATTGTTGCAGTTTTCAAATTAAGATAATGTTTATTACTTAACTTTCAAAACATTTTTAGGGTTCTGTTTCAGGTATCGTGATAGTCATAGTAAGTACGCTAACACTAACATATATGATTGAATATTTAAACTAGTGCTGTTGTACAGTGTAGTGATACAAATTGTACTTTTGTGGTTAATTTTACTTTTAACTTATAACATTAGAAGTACTAATAATACTAGTTATTACTATTCTTTAGTTTTTAACCTAGATGTATAAAGTACTATAGTATTTGTTAGTAGTATACTATTACTAGTAATACATTACAAAAAGTAAAACTATAACTGTGTATAAGTTATAACTGTAAACTGTAGTCACTATAAACTTAATGTGAATAACAGCCCAACACAGAATCTCACAGATGAGTTAAGACTGAGAATTCTTAACGCAGACTGCGAGTCAGTGAGATGGAATTCTGGAATTAAGTGAGCTATGGAGAGGTGTTAAACATTTTACGATATTCAACATCAAGTTAGAACCAAAGAAAGTACTTTGATAAAGGTTCGAGAAAAGCCACACTTTACTGCTAGAAGAATTCGTCTTTTAATAATAGTGTTCAACTATGAGAATGGAGCGTTTAAGAGGTTGGCCAGACTGCATTTTTTGCACGAAATTGTACTATTATCATTATATATTGGTAGAAGGATTTATGTTCAGACAGATACCAACACAGCCATCTTGCACTGTTAGTTTTCGAACTTGCAGTAACAAGTAAGCATCATTGAGACTTCCTTTGCTATTTCTATCAACAGAACTCGTGAAAACCATGGAGAAAATGGACTTGTTAGTTTTTAGACCTGAAGAACTAGGTCTTGTATTGCACAGCATGTTTTGTATGTGGTTTGAGTTTCACTCTTTCATAGTCTTGAAATTATTGTAAGTTTGACCAGCTGGTGGGTAATTCAGATTCTAGACATTGCAAGAAGTTCAAATCTATATTTAGAATTAACAAAAATAAGAGAGTACTAAAGTGTTTTGGAATCAACTTGCCAAATATCTTTTCCTGACTTGCAGACTGGGTATTAAGTAAGTTAAGACAAGTTTTATTTTAGTAAAAAATAATCACCCTTGGTCTTGTTGCCTGTATGATGTAGTATGTTATAATATCTGACCTGCTAAGTTGCAGGTCTTGTTATTAGGCAAAGAGCAGGAATTTAGCAAATTTTAATAATTATACTAATAATACATAGACATAAACACAGCCCTAATGATACTTTATAGTCTTCTGAAAATAAATACTGTATTACTTATATGTTATGAATGCTTTATCACTTAGTTCAGAAGTCTTGACAGGGTTGTGGTAGTCATTCACACAACATTCAGCCTTGATAATGGATGCAGAATGCATTCGAAATGCGTCGGGTAACTCATCACTAGCTACAACTTTTACCCGTTGTTCTAATAACATTAAGACGGCTCTTCGACTTCTTGAGAAGAATTCTAAGAAGAAAGTAAACTTACAGACATCGGTCTTGTTTAACAAAATATATATATATATATTCATTTCAACTCAAAATAAAATATATTTCACCCATCCCTATTCCATCCTCCATTACTTCCACCTAGCACATTCATCCCTATGATCTTTACTAAGACATTCAATAAAAATAAGCTAGTGCTTCTATACAATTTCATATCACCTGGAATAAGGTTCAAAACTTTGTTGTTCAACACCAACACATCCTTGTTCTTTGCAGTAATTATGATTTTCTTTGGTAATGCTTGTTCATTTCTAATATAATTAGAACTTTCATAAATTGCTTTAATAATACATTCTTTTTTCAATCATCTTTTCAGAAATTTCAACAACAATATTAGTTAATCCACATGCAATCGTAATTTTTCAATATGTGAGCCTAAGGAACTACTTTTTTGTTATCAAGCCTAAAGTGAAAACATAGTATGGAATCACCTAGCCTAGGCCTAAGCTCACAAAATTTCTCGTGAAAGAAAAAAATATCAATTCAATTTTATATCTAAGTCATTTACAGTTTAAACTATTTTGCTGTTATATCACCAAAGTTATAAAAAAAATCTTTTAATCAATGCAGGCATTAAATTAATAAATCAAGAAATAATTATTTTAATTTTTGCTGTATAGACATTTTATATTTTCAGTATATAGACTAACAATAATATGAGGTCATAGTTTTGTTGCTAAGCAACAATTTAACACAAAAGCCATTGTTGGAATGTAGCATTATGAAAAGACAGACACTGGCTTTTATATATATTATACACCCACACACATATACATACATTTATAACTCTTAATATTTAGTATTCTAGGTTATACAATGAATACTCTGTCCCAATTTTTTCTTCAGAACCACCTAATCCAATGTTTGTGAAATATAGAATATACATATATTGTTAATTGTAAATATTACTATTGTAGTCTTAGTTCCTTCATTTGCATTTATCGTTTTCTGCCATTGAAATCTTTTGAATAATTTCTCTAGTCCTTTTTTCTTTACTAACAACTTTGTTTCACTATCATGTTTTCCAATCCATTTCTTATACTTTTTTTCATCAGAAATAACTATCATACCTCTGACATTCTTTTTCAGAACTATCACACAATACTTTGATTGTGAAGTGAGTTATATAGATGCCTTTAACTATAACAGTTCTTTCTCCTTCCTATATATTTTCTCAAGAGGAAAAGTCAGTTTTCCAAAATCACTCGGGTTTTAATAATGAATTACCATTAATGTACTGTAATAGTGAATGATGCAAAAAACTAGTTTTTTGTACCATGTAAATAAATTATATCCCTCATATATTTATTTATTTATTTTCATTATTTTTTGTTTGTTTATTTATTATATAGTTTTTTATAAGGATTGTTTTGCATTGTTAGTTTAATATATGCTTTTAAGACTAACTTAAATATCTCAAACTGGCTGAACCTCATGAGATATTATTGGGTTTATAGCCAAAAATATTGATAACATTTAAGGACAACAAGGGGCCTGTTGGTCCATTGAGGCTGTCCCATTTGTTAGGCTATATTTAAAAAAATAAAAGCCAGCTTTTATCATTTACATATTTATCAAGCCTTCCATTAAAAGTCTTAAATTTGCTACATCCATTACATCTGAAGGCAACCCATTGCAAAGGCTAACCACTCTGTTAGAAAAATATATTTGCCTTAGCTGAAGATGACACCTATCCTGCCAAAATATATATTTTTGTCCAATTGTTCCATCATTCTCACCATTAAGTACAAGAGAACGTGCTGCTTAACACTATTAGTTTCCTTAATAATATTAAACGGCTCAATTAGATCCCCTCTAATTCTTTATTTCTCAAGAGAAAACAGTTTCACAGACCTTTATCCGTCCTCCTATGATTACCTTTCCAACACAGGTATCATCTTAGTAGACATCCTTTGAACCATTTCCAACATTTCAATGTCCTTAATGTGAGGAGCACAAGCCTGAACACTATATTCTAAATGAGGTCTAATTGGTGGCTTGTACAATGAAGTTATAACCTCTTTAGATTTATATTCAGTATTTCTTTAAAGTCCTGTTTGCCCAACCACCAGCAACAGTGCACTGATTGGATGACTTAAGAGACTAATCAACCAGAACACCAAGATCCATTTCTTCCATTATACTGTCAAGGTTATTCCTATCAAAATTATACTTATCATTTGAATATTAATAACTTGGATGCAGTACTTTGCATTTATTGTAATTAAAAGCCACCTGCCATTTATTCGCCAAATTACCAAATAATCTAAATTCTGTTCTAAAGGAGCAACATCCTCATTACAGCCAGCAACACCCAAGACTTTAATGTTATTATCAAATTTAAGATATTTGTTGTCCATTCCTTCATCTTTGTCATTAGTGTAAATCAAAAAAGAACAAAGGTGTTAACACTGAGCCCTAAAGCATCCCACTTGTTTGACTGAACTCCATTTATAATACACTTCTGCTTTCTTTTATCCAGACATATTTTGACCCATCAAGACAACTTATTTTCCACTTCTATGGAGATAATTTTTAATTAGCTTTTTGTGTGTCATCTTATCAGCTGCTTTCTGAAAAACCATATGAACCAATTCCATACCCTTATCTATATCTACATAAGCAGTAATCTTTTCAAAGAGTGTCAAATAATTAATAAGGCAATATTTTCCCCCAGTAAACCATGTTGACTAATATAACTAATCGAACAAAACTAAACTTTATGAAATTAAATTGAAAAGCATCTTTTATCAGACTTTCAAAATGTTTTCCCACCACTGATGTAATACTAATAGGCTTATAGTTACCTGGACAATATTTATCCCATCTGATAATTTTTATCACTCAACCAATGAAAATCAGTGCATTCTAAGTATTATATATTTTTGTCTTTTTGACACTGCATATGTCTAGATAGATCAGTCTAATAATTACATTGATCACTGGGCTAATTTTTAGTTTTAACATAAGTAACCTTCTTTGATTAGAAGTGATTGATAAATATTGATAGTTCAGGAAAAGCCTTTCCATTATACAAAATATTTTACCTAAAAAAAACCTCTTCCAGACTAGGACTGTATCATTATAATTATATTTTTATGTTTGAAACTTTACTATATCTTTAATTTATAACAATTTTTTTATGTTTTTCAGATGAAAAATATGACATTACCCTCAAGATTACAGCTTGTTGTTTTGAAAAGAATTTGGCAAAAAAATTTTCCCACTCATTACAATGGAGCTATTCACACTGTTCTTTGTTCTTGTTTTATCCAAAAAAATGTTACTATGATACCATCCAGGTGTATGGTAACAACAAAAGGTTTACACCAAGTTCCCAAGAGTGATAATACAGAAAAAGAAAAACTGCTATTGAAAAAGCGAGGGAAAATCCTTATGCTCATTTAACATTTGGTCAGAAAGGTATAATTTAATTTATTTGTAAATTTAAAACACTCTTTTTATTGATTCGAAATCTAAAAAAATGGTGAGTACATGCATATGTTTAACTAAATAGTTCAAACTTTTTAAAACTATTTCAAATTACACAAATGCAGTTTATATGGATGTGAAAATGTTTTTACTTTCAGCCAATTAAAAAGAAGATTATAGTTGGGGTTTAAGCTTACACTATTACTAACAAGGAAGGATGTTTTTTTAGCATGAATTCAACAATGCTAATTAAATTTTTTAACAAGATTTCAAAAATACATGATCTAGTAAAAGTTGTGAGGAACAAAATGTGTTAAATATGAAGTAGAATTATCTTATGAATACAACAGTGTAAATTTATATTAAAGAGGATACAGACTAATTGTTGAAAAAAATACATATATTTATGTATTATTTTATGAAAGAGTTATTGAAAATTTCTGCAACAATTCTGGTTATTAAACATAAATTGACTATTTTTAGTTTGTATTAAAATTGCCATTCAAGTGGTAATGTCATTTCCTAGCCATTTTGTTAATTTTTAAATGTGTTTTGAGATTATTTTCGTATCTCTCAATCCTAAATATACGTAAGAATTAAATAAGTTTCACAAAGTATCCTTGAAAGAAGAACACAAGTATATTTTCCAGTGCTTAAAAATGGTAGTATTTTTAGAAGTTTAGAAAGTCGGAAAAGTATATTTTGTATGATGCATAACTGAACTTATACGGTGTTTATTGATCTCTTGAGAATTTGTTTTGTGAATGGTATCTAGTAAAGCTATGGTAATGCTTTGTTTTCCCTTTAAGTGAAAGAAACAACCAAAGATGCAAGTTATTTGGGAGTAATCATTGCTGGCGTTGGTGTAACAGGTAAGAAATTGTGTCAGCCCACAATTAAGCTAACTGTTGAATACTGTAATATTATGAACCAAGTAATATATGTTTTAAATCTGTATGAATAACAATTGTGATTCCCATCGAATGTGCTAGTAAACTTGTGAGAAGACACTTATTTCCCACTAAATTATTTAAAAGCTGGGTTTAATAAATGTGTTGTTTTCGTACAGTACGGTGATAATTGTATAATTATATAATTTCTGTTGTGTGTAACTATGTAACTGTTAAGTGTTATTTTGATCCTTTTATAATATTCTGTTGTTTTTTCCCTTTTTTTTCTTCCAATAGGAATAATGTTTTATACAATATTTCGGGAACTTTTTTCTGGACATAGCCCCAATTCTGTTTATTCTGATGCACTGCAGCTGTGTAGAGCTGATCCTTTAATTGTCCAGAAGCTGGGAGAGCCAATCAAGGGTTATGGTGAAAGAACATCTCGTGGCAGAAGAAGACATGTGAGGTACGTGAAAATAGGTTAAAAATTGAATATAACATCTTTTTTTTAATGATTATTTGACTAATTCATTAATTCAAGTTAGGTACATGAAACCATGAAAAATGCTCTAGGCAAAAACATCTTTTAAACAAATAAAGTTTTATATTGATTATTTCTTTTAGTTAAGCAACTTGGATACGGTCAACTTTAATTAAAAAAATTGCTCACTTTAAAATTTGGGGAATGCATTGGCTAAGCCAATAATTATTACAGCTTCTGAGAATGAAAATTCTTACCATCAGAAACAAACCTGTTTCGTCAATCATGTGACACCCCCCCCATTATTCTGGTGTGAAAAACATTACCTGCATGTCACTGAATGCTTAATTAACCATACTTTTTGGATGGGTTATTGACAGTTTTTGTAAATACGGCTGTCACCTTTTGTGCTATTCTGTGTACAAATAGGTTTGAAAATGGCCTTAGAATTGGTTTCTACAGATTTCCCGAGGACAATATTTGCAGAATACTATAAATAAATACAATTAAATGACAGTCTGTTCTACATTTAAAGTCACTACAATAAGGCTACTAGAATAATATTTGTAGGAACCATTTTATCACAGTTTTTTTTTGCTGCAGTTTGTATTGTGATATTGAATATTTCAAAAAGAAGATGTATTAAGAAAATAAATGGTTCATGTGACTTGCTTAAATGTAGCATAGATCAAAGAAGATAGAATTATTTCCTTATAGACTGTTGATGGATGTAATAGTAAATTATGTACAGTGTATACTACACCTCACCCACTAACAACCAACATATATCCAGTTTAAATAGATAAGTAATTTACCTTTATCGATGTAGGTCTTCACTGCCCCTCAAGTATAAGTGTTAATCAGATAGTTATACAGGTAACGGTAGGACAAATTGGGCAAGCTCATAATATCATCTTTTCAGGCATCAAGGAATAAGGAACAGGGAGGTCAATTGAACTGTTTTCAATACTCAATTGTTCTAAGTATCTAGCTACATCTAAACTTACAAAAGGACTAGATTTCCTTGCCGTAATGTTCACTTTGTAGATTGGTTATCAAGATTTTGGAAGTGTCTTTTTCCCAACCAGTCATCTGCACATGGGCTGTGAGAAACAATAAAACTCAAATGTAAACATAACCTTGTCTATAGATCAATTCAATAAGAATAGTTTTTTTTTAATAAACCATTTATGACATATGAACAGAAAATTGTCAATTTACAAAATCTGGCTGTAAGTGAGTAAGATGATACAACTGCAAGCCAACCTATGTTTATTTGTTTTGAATGCATTAGGATATATAAGTTTGCATGTACAGAGATTATATATCTCAGCAGATTTGTAGAAAAACAGTAAAGAATAGATATTAACCCTATAGCGACGGGTTACGTGTCAAAGGCCATGTCATCGTGTTTGTTGAATTGCATTCAAAATTTTATTGAACTACTATTCTATGAATTTATGTCAGAAAGTTTGGTGTCAAATTGTAGATTATAATTAAAATTTTAATGTTATATTTAAAAGTAAATATTGAAAAAATACAACTAAACATCAATTTTTGTGTGTCATGTGGTATGTTGAATGTAGCACTGGTTCAAATTAGATGTTTGTGATTTCAAAATATAAAATCTACAGTTTTGTACAAATTAGGAATTCAAACTACTGACTTGACAAGCTAGAATATGAAATAAGAACCTATTATCTTTTCTCTTTACTAAGATATCATTCCTGTACTGAATCAAACACGGTCACCCACCCACCACTTTCTGTTTTTGGAAATGGTCCCTTATATACACTTCTATATATGACATGAATAACCAATCAAAAGCTCAGAATGTCCCCCTAGTGGTTTTCTCAGCCGTTTTGATGTGTTACTGTGCTAATTTTGTTCTTTTCACACAATATTTCAAACAATGAGGTAAATCTTTAGTGAGCTCAAGATTCCATATTTTTTTTAGACCCAAATACAGCTTAGTTACTAAGCTTAATAAATTATAGTGGAATTCTATGGTATCGATATAGTAATTTATGATTTTTTTGGTTATTTAAAATGTATATATAAAGCCTAAAAAACAATTTCTTTTCACATGTTCCACATGGGAAATTTCATGAGGCTTAGCAACCTACGACAAGTGGCAAACGAGTACAAAGGTCATAACTAGAAGAGAAAATTGTTTGCTTCACTACTTTATTTACTGTTCTATGTTTTAAGAAAAATAAGTTTAA